TTATTTATTTAGTTTGAATCCTTCTTACTACAAGAATTGTAGTACCATAAGGCTCAGAATAAATAGTTATAGTGTGGTGTGAGCTACTTATAAGTAGTATATGACGTGAGTGTCAACGTAATGTCTGGCAGCGGAAGATGGGAAAAGATCAAGAAAGGAAGAGTTAGAAAACAATGGAATTTGTATGAAACGCATGAATAGTAGTGACAATGGATTGATGTTTGGCAACAGGAACAGTCCAGTTCGATATGATGAACTGATATTTTGCAAATTAACGATTTACGATATGGTTTTCCTATTTTACTGAGTAACTTTGTAATTTTCGTTAAATACAATTCGGTTGCCCTACCTGTGTTCTCGTTCACTATAATTGTAGTGACATTTAAATAATCTATTCTGGTTACATTGCTATTTAGTGTTATTTTGTCTTGCAATTAAAGTCATCAAGTCATTAAAAACGCGAACTCGTAAAATACCAGTGCCTTTTGTAGAACAAGTTAAAACCTATCTTTTTTTTAATGCAATCAATAGCTACTTGAATAGTGCTCCACAGAAAGTAAAATAATTGTTGATCAATTAATGGGAAGAGTTACTGAAACAGTTGAGATCTATCTAGTCTTCTTGATAGCTGCAGATTATCATATTGAAGTCCTTGTGATTATCATGACCAATTGTTGCAGACATCGGACGGTCTACTTTAAACACGGTCACGGTGAAAACCTATCCAGTCTTTGTTTTCCTTTATGTCATCAATGCAAGAACCATCTCCCACATTACTCCACAAACCCATCATCCATTCATCTTGAATCATACTGTCTGTCTCTGTCTTCCTATCACCATTGGCCTGATTGTTAACTCTAACAACTATGCAATGTGTCTTAGTAATTTCATCACACTGTCCAGATGTAGTGTGCGAACTTGAATCGATATACAAATGTGTATATCTTAAAATTCTACTGATTGAAACGAGCTAACAAAACAGTAAATATATAAAATACTAACCAATTAATGCGATATATATATATATATATATATATATATATATATATATATAGAGAGAGAGAGAGAGAGAGAGAGAGAAAATATTCATTTATAAATAAAAACACAATACTATGATTACCTTTTCTCGAACAACTTTAAGAGATGTTTCTTCTAAATTAACTGTTTTAAGTAAATCAATTATATTTTTCTTTAATTCAGTATCAGTTGGTGGAATAGTTGCATTTTTTGATGTTAAACTCGACAAAGGCATATCTTCATCGGAATCATGTACTTTCTTCATTTTACTTGAAACAGGTTTGTAATCTTTTTCAACATCAACATCCTCATCCTCATCATCAATGTCATCTTCTTCTTCTTCATCTTCCTCGGTATCACTAAGTTCACGTTTTTTGGCTCGTTTAAGACCAGCTTTAATAGGCTTTTGTTTTTGTTGTTGTTGAATTTTGACACGTTTCTTCAATGGTTGCTTCTTTTTTTTCTTTTCAATTGATTCAGCTACACTTGATACACTATCATCACTTATTGAATCATCCGATTTCGATAACATATCATCAGTAGTAGTATCTTGTTGATTTGAATTATCTAGGCTAGTTTCACTTGATGCAGTAGTTTTTTTGGATGATTTCGATTTTGATTTTTTCGAGGTAATATCTATTTTAGATTTATTTTTATGTCCATGTTTTTTGACAATTTTGCCTTTATATTTTACAGAATTAGCGGATGGTTTAAGTAGAAATTCCAATAAACGAGAGGCCAATTGTTCTCGTGTACCTGTAACTTCTAAGCTTAGAATACGGAGAACGTCGCGTAGACCACAAGCAGGACGTCTGTAAAATAAGTGACACAATAAAAAGATAAAAAACGAACTTTCTCCACCACCCCCCCCCCACCATCTACAGACAAACCGATATAAACATTTTTATGACTGCTAAACTTCACGACATATATTCTAAACACATTGTCTGTTAAGATGCTCACAATGAAAATGAACACACTGATAGTTTAAAGTCACAAAATCTATATCACTTCATCAGATAAGTTTATGATTACTATGTGCGTGATAACATAATGAGTTATTTTGAATTGTGACAGCCAATTAGTGAGATAATAATCAGATAAGACATTTATAAAACTATAACGTTACTATTGATTTTGATCAACAGAAGCTTATTTTTAGTCACCAATACTAATAGATGTTTAGATGTCAGCACAGTAGCTAGATTTTCATACGGTGACAAAACATAACAAAATAATTTGGTACTAATTACAAAAAGAATGACAACCCAGGAGTATAGTTTGAAAAAAAACAGAACAGAAAAGTATGGACAACGGGATATTACGACACAAAGCCTAGGAAGATTAAAAGTTTAATGTATCTGCGCCGAAGCCATGTTAGTCAGCGTCTCCGACCATTAATCGCGGTTACCACGCTGACCGTAACCAGGTAGCTTGTATCTACCGACGTAGCTCAGACCGATGATTAACAGCCTCATGAACTGAAGATACCACGTACTGGTATGACTGTCAATAGCTTCCAACGCTCGATGAAGTACATGGAGGTTAGATAAGCACATGTCCCAGTCATCTCAGTCAATGAAAATTCAACACCTGATCAACTGATTCATCTCTTTTCTTGTCATTTCTATCTAACCTCAACAATAAATGCCCAACAGATATTACTGCTACTGCCCTGAACTCGACGACTCCTTCGAAGTCCGAAGAAATTTGCATGGGTTTTGTGTGGTCAGTCAATATGTAAAGAGTGTTTTGAGAACATAATTCATGTAAAATGTGTTTATTGTCCACTGTCGTAATATATTTTTGATTTGTTTTTGGACGTAACTGTAGGATTTAATTTGTCCTACAGATGTAATTCTACAATGGTAAACGTAACACTGGCGGGCACAGAGTCTATGCGAAAGCTATAGTTAGAACAAGATCAACTTTTGCTTTAAACTTTATCTGTTTCTAAACATAAAAACAATTAAATTGGTACAATAAATAAGGAAATTACAATTATCAAGTAAGACGAGCAAACGTACCGACCAATATAGAGTGTCTTATGGAAATGAGTACAGTTATGAGTCACATCAATATAATAAGATAATAATGTCAATCGATTTGTAGGTCATTTACAACAAAGAAGCTTTACAGACACGTCAGATCAGATCACGTGGTGGGCGCTTAAACCACAATTTGATTGGTTATTTATGACAACTACAATTAGTTATGGAAATAACTAACACTCCCCCCGAAGCGGTCACCACGTCCAGACCTCGTTTCCGTAGCGTTCAAGTAGTCGGCTTCTTCCAGTAAGCATAGGCTCCGTATATCCCCGGTGATTTCTTCGGTTGCTCCCTTTAACCGCACTGTTCTGACTTGTCCATCCGGATCATCAATGACCTCTCTAACTACAGCTTTCACCCACAGATTTCTCAGCAAGACAGTATTGTTTACTAACAGTGAGTCTCCCTGTTGTGGATTCCTTCTCATGGACTTTATGATATGTTTCCATATACCGCCTCCAGGATCAAAGATTAATGCTATAAACGACAAAATATTCCTTCTGGTTAGGTTTCCAGGAAACTCATGAACTCTGAAAAATGATTCGTCCGCTCGGGTATTCTGCTCTATCTCCAGCGTTCGTTTACTCATCTCGGATCCGTATAGGGTAATGTTTCCTTCAGTATGATCTTCCTCGTTAATTGCACCTATTCTCAAAGTTCTTGAGTCAACTAGAGCAGCAGGCATTTGTAACCAAATGAGAGTATTAATCAACAGTCTGCCTTTATACACTGAACGCACTACTATCCGTTACCTGCAGGGAGATTCGTTATTCTCTTCAGCACTGTTGTTGTGTATATCATTTAAATGGAAATGAAAAGGCCCAAGATTATCCCACTTTTGTTTATTAGGATCGGAAATATGAGCTCGGCAATGCTGTCGAATAATTGGCATTTCTCTTTCACCTGCAACTAGGTCGAGTTCCGCTAAAGTTAACGTTTCTTTCCGTTTATCTTTAAGTACATCCTTAGCAGGATCCTCTAGAATTTTCGAATCCTTACAGTCTGTCTGAGAAGCTGTAACTACTTCAGCCAATGTAGTAAAAAGACGTGATGATGATGTCCATAAATTAACCGAAGCATCTTTCGACACATAAGCATTCACAACGCTTGGTGAAATATTTGATCCGAGAACACAATAAGATGAAATGTCTTTCTTAGCTATAGCAGGACATGATAGAACGGTAGGCAACTTAGCTAATTCATTTGATGCTTTGAGTGACGCAAAGAAAGCCTTTGTGAGAGAAACAGGACGATTAGAAGGAGAACTAGCAAAATCCTGATCTATCGATTTAGTGTGAGGAGGGATTGTTCCATTCAGGTTTATCTGAATTTTATCATGTTCATTGTTACTTTCCATAATAAACAAATTTGATTTCTTCTCGGAAATGGCCACAACTTGCTTACGATATTCTCTTCCTTTTTGACGTAAGCGTTCAAACTCAATTTTTTTCTCTATATGAGCTAAACGTACTTTAGCTGATTCTAACTTTAACAAAGGATCTATTCGGTAGCTATTTCTTCTAAACTGGTCTTCACTATGAGTTTCCGAGCGGTAGGGAGACAATTTAGGAATCTGATCAGTTTTAAGATTCTCCGTGGACATTTAAAAGTACTAAATGTATGAATTTCTGATGATATTGTTTAAAGTAAAATTGGTCTTGTTCTAACTATATCTTTCCCATAGACTCTGTGCTCGCCAATACTGCGTTTACCATTGTAGAATTACATCTGTAGGAAAAATTGAATCCTACAATAACTTACATTTAAATTGTCTTATTCGTGATTTGATCGGACTGGGTCGAAGTGTGCTGGACAGAAAGATACACACCAAGAGAATATGACGTTCTGAAGTTTGTTTTTATGTATGTATGAATGTAATTGTATTTTAATAACCAACATAGAAATGAATACATGAGCAAAAATGAGTATACTTATTTTAACCTAAATTGCAAAATATCACTATAAGTCAATATAAAAACAGAAATCAGTGCATAGCCAACTTACTGTTGAAGATATATTGATTTTTTCTCGTACTGTTCAGAACCCACTTCGAAACCAAAACCTCGAAATTTGCGCAGATTACTACGTACTTCACTTGCACTTCCAGGTCTACCATATATTATCAGGTGCAACAATTTGAGGCTAGCAGGTTTTACTTTTCGTATAGCCACTTCAATGAGCGGGATTTCACCGAGTGCTGTTCCTGTAGCCCCATCGAATGCAGCTGAGACTGCTTGGACTGCTTTACTCCGTTCTTCTGCCTTAGCCTGATGGGCTCGATTCCATGTTTCAGATAATCGCTGAACCTTCTTACGTTGTCTTTTCTCACCAGTATCAACTTCATGTCCGTTTATTCGCTCGGGTTGCTTAATCTCTTCTTCGGAAACTGAGATATTTTCTTCAGCTAGTATAAAGGTGTTTAGTAAAACAAGAATAAGACGTATAGCTAGGCAGAAAATGAGTGAAAGCAGAACTATCACGAAATAAGACAAGAAAGATCGACCTTGAATCGACGGCTGCAGTATGCATAAAATAATATTCTGTATGAGGTTGTACAGATTGTTGAATTTCTTTAAAATTATGAACCGATCTAAACCAGACGACTTTTGAAAAACCGGGTGCACTGTACATTTCTTTCATTCTAGTAGATGACTCAATAGTGTGCAACCGCGATCCTGCAAACAAGAATCGAACCCAAATCTCTGGGTTTCATGAGACCAGATCACTGGGCCGGCATTCAACAGTGTTGGTAGTTAATTTCACTTCCGATCCCGATGTGCAAGATCATGGATGGACACTGTTGAGTCACAAACTACAACAAAATAGCTATCCAGTGCTACTAGATTTTCAAAAGTTGTCATAATTCTCACTTTATTACAACCCAGCTATTCCTGATAGTTAGTAATCTCGGACACTGATTCACTCAAGACAATCTCTCAAATCATAACATGACTGAACAGGAAATAGATTTTATTCCAACAAGGTTAGAAGGAAGTCAGGTCTAAAGGTAAAAGACGTTAGCACATTTATAGTTTTCTTACATGAGAAAGTTCTAGAATTTTCCCTCAGTGTCGGCTAGCGCTGATCGGATACGAAAGAGCCAGTCAGCATGCAACAACGCAATCATCCTTTAATCCAATCTATGTCCCACTAACAAAAGTGATTTGACTTAGATCGACTCATGATTTCAAAGAAATAAATTTTACTTTCGTGAACTTGGGTTTTACCACTACTGGGGAATTTATGGCCGCAAGACTATTTAAAAATGAGGTTGATTTGCTAAAAGGTACATATTAACAATGTGTGAATTATTTTGACCTAACATGTTCTGCAACAACGATATAAGAAAAAACTAGGGAATATTTCTAGTTTTCTGAGATGGGTGTTTTAATCGTAAAGCTTCGATTATCCTTCTAAATGATATCATAAGGATAAACTTCGAATGAAAAACACTCATCAGAATCACTATATATAGTTGTATTCCCTTTCCCGTCGTGCTTAATAGCTAATCAATGTTTATGCAAATAGATGAGGAGAAAAGCTACTTTGTTTGACTTAACGTGGTAAAACAACCTGACAGTTATATAAGGATTCTAAAATCCGTTCCTGTTTGAGGGTTATACTGGTCATATTGTCTGAAGGGGAAATGAAAGCTTCACAATTAAACTATACAGCTCGGGAAGAAATGGTATGGAAAGGCAGCTAACGAACTTTATTTTGATGTGTAAAATATTTAAATTTATTAGATTGGGTCCATCATAGTGGTAATGACCAAAAGGTACATTCTCGAGAGATTCACTAATCGATGAAGAAGCATGTTCACATTGACATGCATAAACATTGATAATCTAAAATTGTTCAAATGGGCCAGTTCATACATGCGAAGTGGAAAGTTACATCCCAACGATACAAAAAGATGAAACCGTATATGGTTTTGGAGTGAAACAGAAAAGAGTGAAATATCAACGCTTAAGGTTTCTGTGACAAAGGTCAGTGTACTTGTACTGTTGAAACCTATTTTGAGCTCAACATTTTGAACCAGATGAGTATCCAGACTTCTTGAAGAATGAATGTAATAAGAATTAAAGTATACACTGTTGTGGTATACGAATGGGGACGTAAGTAGATAACGCAAGCGAGTGTGTATCCTTATATTTACTGTACTATTAGGTCCGGAAATACATAAGCCGGGACTAGAATTCAGTTATGGATGCTTATTTCGCCTTCAGACTCAGCAACACACCTATGCCTGACAAACCAAAAGTCTCATGAGAAGCCTCAGATACAAGGAGGGTGGGTCAGGCAGATTACTAACATTATTTTATTTTATTTAAACGCAACTATTAGTACGAAACAGGAGCAAAATATTTGTGAGCTACACAAACCAATGAATTTTTGTGGGTTGGAATACTGCCCGTATGCCAAGAACCAAAGTAGGTGATTTGCTTAGGCTGCTACCTCCCGAGCCTTGGACCAAGGTTTAATCCACAAGGCAAGACGCAGAAACATGGTATCCGGTGAGCAATAATAGGTCCCATAAGATCCTGGAGCTAATGTACACCATTAGTTGGGATCAGGAATTTCCAAATACTCTAGGTGGATCCTTTGTACCAACCAATCCAGATTAAGAACCCGACATTAACTTTTCTCCCCCTAAATTTCGTAAACAACACTCCTGCCATACCACATCAGCACACAGATGTAATTGTCAATTCAAATCCAATAGTAGAAGAGGTAGGAAAGGTATTAGAAGTAATCGAAGAGGTTAGGATTAGAAGATAGTATTCAAGAAGTATGACTCAATGAGATAGGTTTAGAAAGTCAAAACTAGAGGTGTTGAAGAATCCAGAAGATTAGGATTTGAGAGAACACAAAGAATAAACGCACCGGCGCCATTGCGAACGATTTTGAGCCATGTCATTCAAGGTCTCTAACCATCGATCATTATCAGCTCGCGGACCCCAACCACGTAGTCAACAACTACCGACATGACTCAGTCCACTCGTCCAATGACTTCATGGATTTCTGCCATGTTTTGGTTTGGCCGCCCCTAGCTTTCGTCCAACCTATTCCTACACTACAAAACAAAGCTCGTTGAAGCAGCCAGTGGTTAGGCATACGCAGCACATGTCCCAACCACCTCATCTGATCAAGTTTCATTACTTCATCTATTGATCTGCCATTCTTAACTAGATCCCGTTTCCTAATAACAGCGTTGCTCACTCGGTTGTCCCACGATATACGAGCAATGCTTCGAAGACACCTATGATCGAAAACCAGTAACCTACGAATATCTTTAACTCTCACTGGCCATGTTTCACAGCAATAAAGTGAGACGGAGCGAACTGCTACGCCGTACACTCGTCCTTTGATTAGAGAACGGATATCACGCCTACGCCATAAGTGACGCAGGTTGGCAAAAGCCAATGCAGCCTTCTGTATCCGCGCTGAGATTTCGTCAGTCACCAGGCCATCAGCACTGATGAGACTCCCAAGATAAGTGAATCGGTCTACATGCTCGACTACTTCACTCCCTATCACTAGTTCAGGTGCGATGAAACCCAGTCTAGAAGCAACATTTTGCATTTCGAGGGGGAAAACCGCATCCCGAATATGCTTGCATTGTTGCTTAGGGTAGTCAGAAGACTCTGCATTTTGTCAGCGTCTTCACCAAGGAGGACTATGTCATCGGCATATTCTAAGTCAATAAGCAATCCACCTGGTAAAAGGTCTACTCCTGAAAATTCAGACGAGGATAAGGCTATTTCTAGGAGCATGTCTATGATAAAATTAAACAAGAATGGAGAAAGTGGACAGCCTTGACGGACACCACTTGAAGTAAAGAATTCCGGTGACAGTTCGCCATAAGCTCTCACTCGACCAGTGGTGTTCGAGCAGAGAGCTTGTATAAGGTTAATGTACTTCTCTGGTACACCTTTCAATGACAGACACTGCCACGGAACCTCACGATCGGCAGAGTCAAATGCCGCTTTTAGGTCCAGGAACACAACTATTGTAGGACACCTGTGTGTCTGTGTTCCAGGACCTGTTGCAGTGTGAAGATGTGGTCTATACAACCACGTCCAGGTCGAAAACCAGCCTGGTTTTCTCTAGTCTGCTCTTCACGAGCTTTCGTTAAGCGTCGAAGTATTACTGAGGCCAATATTTTAGATACTATATTAGTTAAACTTATTCCCCTGTGACTGTCACAAGAAGACTTGTATCCTTTCTTATAGATTGGGACAATCAGTGATTGAGACTACTCGGATGGCATTACGTCCAGTTTCCAGATTCTACCTAGGATCTCGGTCACTCTAACCGTTAAAACTGGGCCATCCTTAAACATCTCAGAGGTAAGCCTATCGGGACCTGCTGCTCTACATAGCTTCAGATTTTCCATAGCTTTCTCAACTTTATTTAGACTAGGAGGACTTAAATCGATTTGCCATTCAGGATGACTGGAGATCGTGGGCAACCGAAGAGTGGCAGGAGGCCGCCCATCGGTCCAGTCTCCTGGATTGAAAATAGATAATAGTCCCATCCTTTTCTGAGATAGTCTCATTCACATTTGGGTTCCTAATACCAGTCTGTTGTTGCCTATCGCCGCTGCCGTTTCCATTGCTTTTGCTTTCGCCACCCACCACTGTTCACGGTCGTTACGTAGTCTTTTTATCAGCCTGCGCTTAAGCTGACTTCGTTATTTATCATGTTCAGAGCCAAGTGGGATGAGTTTTCGAACATCCATCATTTCAGTGGATGCTACTGAGATCCACGGCTTCTTCCTAGCCTTATGGTTTACCTTACTAGCAGATATCACTGCTGTTTCAACAGCCTTTTTGATATCATTCCAACCTGCCTCCGGATGGGAATCACTCACATGCCTAACTCTCTTTCTAGTTGTTCTAGGAATATATTCTTGGCCTCATTATCATTAAGTAGAACCCTAAGAGGTTTGCTTGCGGTGTCTTTCCTACGTCCAGTAAGCCTTAAACAAATACGTGCTCGCACTAGGGCATGATCTGAATCTAAACATGTGCTCCAGAACGAGCAACAGTCCTCTATCGAACTCCTCCATCGGTGGCTGATGGCGATATGATCTAGTTGCGTCCAACGTTGAGACGACTTCGGGGGTCGTCTGGTCAAAAGATGTTTTTCCTTATGCTTAAAATTAGCGTTTGGTAGAAATAGGCGGTTATCTGAGCACAGTTGCAACAGACAGTCGCCATTTTCTGTTCTTCGAGCCGCGAGACCATAACATCCACCCAGGTGTCTCTCCTGCTCACTTAGTCTACCTACTTGAGTACTGAAGGTTGTTTCTTAAGGGGCCTGAAAAGGAGAGTAGATTAATGTTGATCTTAGAGAACTGGATCATCAAAGAGTTAAAAGTTTTTGAACGAAACTTACTTAAGTATTGCGATCTACAGTTCTTACTTGACATTGTGGAGGATCATTTATTCTTAGGACTTTAAAAATAAACTGGATTAAATGGATGTGACAGAGATTTAAAAGTAACTGTTCAGCAGAAAGTGCAGTCCGTCACCAAATTTCCCTAAAGTCTCTGCCGCTATGGAGTCACGACTTTTATAACCCCTCACAAGAAAGTCTTAGAGCAAAGCGAAGTGTGATAACTATTTCCTCAGGAATATGTTTATGTATATGTTCTAATGCTCTTTCATGTCGGCGTAACACGAGCACATACAAAAACAATGCATAAACTTGATTTTCGAAATGCAAAGCTTTCGTTATAAACTTAAAAGAAAACATATAAATACAATGAGAACAGAAAGCGAGTGTCTTCTAGTTAAACTTATCGTTAGGCTAATGCGACATAAATTATATCATTAAAAAGAGCCATTCAAAGATTCGGTGATCAAACTTACGTTCATGTTTGGTATCTTCAGCATGACTGTCTTCCACCTTATCCAGAGAACCATTACTGTCTGCTACGAGGGAAGAATCCATCCTAGCTGAAATATTTTCAAGTTATCCGCGCTGAGCTAATTTAAATACAAGGTCACCCAACATTTCATAACCGAGTGAAAAAATTGTAGACTTCTTTATGATTGCGTCATTCCTTTTCTACGTGACTTTCGATGAGTGATTATCTAATCATGTGACTGTATTAGTTTTAGTTAATCTTTAGTACTGGTTTTTTGGATATTTCCATTGATGTTTAGGACTATAATTTACCAATCTCTTTACCATATTTGAATTCTATGTGATAGTGTCGTTAAGTTATTATTACGGGGCTTGTAATGTTTGTTCTGAGCTCTGTTTAAAAAGGAGATTTTCGTTTTCCTCGGTGCGATAAATTCATAGTTTTAGTTGCAAGCAAGTATACAAAGTAATGTTTTTCACGCTAATCGAATAAATTTTCTGCTAATGTAACGCTCAGAATATTGTTTTTCCTCTTGCTTAACTTTGAGTCTATGTTTTATAAAGTTGATCGATTTTCTTTTTGTTTTCTTCAAGACGAATCTTTCTGGTTTTCACATTCTCTCTCTACGTGTTTATTTCATTTAAAAACTCTTGTCAATGACTGGAAACTACAAAAATCATTTATCATATCTCTAAGTGTTCGGACCCTGTAAAAAGTGATGCGCTATGTGATGAGTACAACAGATGGCACAATGGACTTTACAGAAACCTAAAACCTGCAGTATCCAAATGTTTCATCAAAAAGGATCGTGGTTGTACCACCGATGCTACTCGAACTCAAAGATTTTGTCATTCGACGCCATTAGAATCGCTGCCAAAAGGCAGATGTTCAAGAGAAATCGAGATTATTCAAATGATGTCTATTCTGTCGAGAGGCAAACCGATGTGCCGACAATTCATTGAAGCTCAGTGCCGATCAACTTAAATAGGCAAATTATGAAAAACCAACCATGTTGAGGATCTTGATGAACTTAACCTCGAGGAGTCAGTCTTCTTCCGTGTTCCGGTAAGCTGCCTCATCCAAGAAATGTGATCGAATCACTAGGTCTGTCTCCAGCACATGAAGCTCTGTCACCATCATAGTCGTCGTAAATCACCCAGCATCTCACTCTGTACTCAACGTCCCTTTAACCGTCACTCTAGTGAAGGTTGACGGATGGGCAAAAGTCAAGAAAAATGTCACTGAAGTGCCTGACCTAATAAGAAAAGTTCGGAAACCAAAGAATGATCACAGTGACTGGCCAGTCTTTTTTCAAAGAGTAAAGGAGAGTAAAGTCTTTGAGTCTGAAGTCCTCTTCAAGTCTGACATTAGTTCTCTCAAAAATGCTTATGTCTCAAGACACCCTTCTAGTCATCTTACTTCAAGTTTATGGACGGCTAAGCCTAAAGGACTGACAAGAAAATCAGACTAGATTGCTAATAAACAGTATTTTAGAAGCCTAGTGAAAGGGACTTAATACAAGGGAATAGACATAAACCGAAGGGATTGGGATCTTTTATCTATAATAACTGTATTCGAAAACGAGAGGCTGAAGGGAACCAAAACTATGAATAGATGCCGGAGAGAAGGAACTAGGAGTTGTAAGTTTTCGAGTAAGGATACGTCAACAGAGAATGATGCCGATGCCACTTCGGGTGCAGCACAAAGTCATCTAAATGGTATTCGGGTATGCTACACGAATGCACGGAGCTTACTCAACAAGAGATGGTAGCTAGGTGTACAGATAGACTGAATTAAGACGGACGTAAATGTTATCACAAAAACCGGGCTGACTCAGTCTAAAGGCGATGATCGTATTTATAGAAATTTCGAAAATTATTACTCGTAAGGAGCCATTCAAGTACCTGGACTTTGACCATATTCTCTCTGAGAGGCATCACAGTGTTAGAACAGGCTAGTCACGACTTACAAAATTTTAGTCGCTCGTGAATGGTTTTACTCTCTTAGAGACGAGGGGCTGCCTATATATATGGCCTTCATTGACTTTAGAAAAGTCTTTGGCACGGCCCCCCTTAGTCGAGGGATAATGCGATTGGGTGTAACTGACTTATACGGGGCCAGGGATTTCCTAGTCGGACGTCAACAAATTGTACGTGTTAACCTTAAGTTGTGAAGCCTTGAAACCATGCTTCGCGGGATGCGTGAGAGTGAACTTTGTAGTCCTCTATTAATCTGTCTGTGTGTAAATGATCTTCCTAATTTCTTATCTTTATCAGTTATGTTGTATACTGACATTACCAAGGTATACAGATCGATAAAATATAAAGATGATAATGTTCAACTAGAAAATGAACTACGGAAATCATTTGAATGTTCCAGAATTTGGCAACTGCCAACGAACGCTTCCAAGTACATCCCGTTGCATATGTACACGCGAATATTAGTAAAAGGAGTGGACATAAGATGGTCTACAATGAAATTCCAGGTGTTGAGACATGACAGCTATCCTCGAACATGAAACTTTTCATTCTTCTGCCACTCCCGGAGCCAAGATAGAGGGGATTCTATGAGGCCCATCTCAGTAACCTGCACAATCAAAAATTCACAGGATACTATGTCAAAAAGTTCTGAGAAGTCAAACGATAGTACACGAGCAGGTCGCTTTTAGTCTCAGCCAGTTGTCCAGCTGTTTCGTGCTACTAGATGTCTGGACCCTCAAGTCCTGCTGACGCACACATTGAAGTTACAGTAGTACTGTCTAACACGTACAGACTCACTGCCGACGTAGACAATCTAAAGTGTATTCGTTGGTTATTTGTGAATCTTCACAATTAAGGAGACTGAGACGAAAATGACTTCAAGGTTTCAGAAGCGACGAGAGAACATCAGGTCTCAGAACAGTAAACGAACACTGTATAAAGTTAATGTAACTTAACGACCAGGTCTACATACTGCTAAGAGTAATGAAAACGAGTATTGTTATTCATTTTAGGATATAAAATTCCAGAAATTTACAAAATTATGAACGTGTGTCATCATAACAGCACAGTTGACAATCCTGTTACTATTACTTACGCTGGTGAAACCGTACATTAGAAATCTACCTCACGTCTCTGCTAGCTCGCGCACTTTCCTAACCAATACAATTACTATTTCTTTACTAAAAAAGATCTGTACCGAAGGGCAAATGAACTACTCACCATGTAGTCGATGGCTATCCACTAAGAGTCAGTTCCATGCGTAATACCTTTCCCTATTCCCTCGTATAATTTTATTCTGTTTTGTCTTCACTGTCATTTTGAGATCCTTCTTTCATTTCCTTTCTGTTCTCCTATTTGATCTAAAAGTGTTAAAAAGTCATACATGGCAACAAAAGTTTTAGTATTTGGTCCAGATGTGGAGGTAACGGACCAAAGTTAATTTGATTAGATCAAGCTACCTGCTTCTGCATAGCATACAAATCGTTTCTGAGTAACCCGCATTAAATTACGTCAGAAAGTGTACTGTGTGCTAAATTATATCCGTCCTAAATGGAGATAGAAAACAATTATTTAAAACTTAACCACTGTGGATGTTACAGCGTGTGCCATACAGTATAATGTATTTCTAGCACAAAATACTAGAATCAACAGCAAAAGTAGTGATTATTAAATATTTTTTCGGTACCTGAGTGTAAAATACAATTCGAAGGCTTTGTTTTGGGAAAATCTCTCCATGTATATATTTGTAATATGTTCTAACTGACACTTTCGAAGCTACATTTTGGTACTCTAATTAATTTCATTTGGTGATGTTATTATTTGTATTTGGTTATATTTTCTGTTTTTTGTACGTTAATTGGATCTTCTATGTTTTCTACTGAACTGTATTTGTAAATTTTAATTAATAATAAAACCGTTTCTTACCCAGATAAATTGCTTTCTTTTGGGATTGACTTGGAAAGTAGCCCAGATTATCAGTATCGTATTTTAATTACACATTTATTATTTCACTCACATTGTTGAGAATATTTTGACAACATTACCGATTTCAAGTGTCTTCAGATGTCTTCAGATAACGGCACACTGATTCGAGAGGTCCGTTAATCTATCTATTTCTCGTTTTCGGGTCACCGACACACAACTTTGGTTTATTAGGCCTGATAGTTACTTTCAGTTAACCGTCCTAGTTGACAACGAGATAAATTCGGCCGCACATACACACTGCTTCCGGATGAAGGAGCACATAGCGTTCGTGATGTTTTAGCTAAATCGGACTCCAAAAAGCTATTTGGCTGTGATAAAGGCTGTCCCGTTAACTGATCGACAGGCCCTAGACAGATTCTTCACCCATGTGGAACTAGATGACAACTAAAAATTCACATGATCAGCATAATAGGGGACGAGCAGATAAACAGAAGCATATTGTATCAGTTGTGGTTCCGACGACTCCCCCGAAATATTCGGCAGATCCTTGAATTTGGGGATAAAGAAGTGGACATGGATCACATCAGCACCTACGGTATGCTGGTAACACCAGATAGGTTCAAAATAATACAACGGAGAAACGTTCCTGTCGGATGCCAGCAACGACTGCGACTACTGGCGCAGCTCCTAAAAAGCAGCTGCCAGTTTCACATCCAGGACAGAATAACAAATGCTCAATTTTCGGTAAACACAGGAGCGGAAATAAGCGTCATGCGTCCCGTGAAGAATGAACGAAAAAATAGTAACGTGGCACTGACACTTAACGTGCTCAGTAGATCAGACACAAAATCATGCGGCGAGCGAAAAGTAAGTTCGGATTTCGGTAAAAACATGTCGCTTCGCGAAGGGTTTGTTAGAGCGGATGTATTCATGCCTATAATTGGTATTGGTTTCGAAAGAATTTCGACATATTAGTGGATTCCCGAGATAAAGAATGTCCGCCACCACACTACCATAGACATAAGTTCGAAGTCATACACTCATTGATAGTAACTTATATTACCAATACTCAACGAATGTTCATTTGTCGCATTTGTACACAGCAATCATTGTTCTCAATTTTTCCAGCAATGATCTCTAACGAACATCCTTCATATTCCTACAGCCACTTGCTTGATCCACGAGCCTTGCTTTAATGTCGATATATTCATTAAAATTCGTCTTATTTA